CCCCCGCAGCCGCCGCTCTCCACGCCGCCGCTGCCTCTCCCATCCCTCCCAACCCTAACCCCGACCTACAACCGCCGCCCCTCCATCGCGCCGCTGCCCCCTCACCCTACCCGCGCATCGCCATGTCTTCACCCGGCTCCTCCACCACCCGCTCGTCGAACCCGTTCGCCGGCCCCGAGCCCTCGACCACCGCCATCCGTGACCTCAACATTGAGGCCCGAGTCCCTATCTGTCTCGACAGCTCCAGCACGTCGTACTACGCGTGAAAGACCTACTTCAACCTCATCTTCTGCGGGTACTATCTCACCGAGCACATCGACGGTTCTGTGGACAGCGCGTACATGCGCGGCGATCCGGAGTGGTCCGCCATCGAGGCCACGATCATCCGTTGGTTCTACCAGACGGTCTTGAAGGACATCTTCCACATGGTCATCGCTGAGGACGACGGCGCCTGCAATGTGTGGGCCAAGACAACGCTCTCTTCACCGACAACAAACTTCAGCGCCTTGTTTTCTTGCAGCAGGAGTTCTTCGGCTGTCACCAGGACAACTCCACCATCGATGAGTACTGCATGAGGCTCAAGATGCTCGTCGACGAGCTTCGCGACATCATCGCCAAGGTCTCTGATGACCTCATGCTGAGCACCCTCACCACCGGTCTTAACAAGGACTTCGGCAACGCGGCGTCCAACCTCACCCTCCTTCCGCAACCCACTTTTCAGCGCGTCGTCTCGTACCTCAAACTTGAGGAGCGTCGGGATGACGAAGCTAAAGCAGCGGGTCCAGCACACCGCCCTCGCCGCCGGCACCACCCGCGGTGGTCCTGCTCCTCCGGCCGCGCCTCGTCAGCCCGCGCCGCCCGCACCGGTCGGCTACTACCCGCTGTCGCCCGCACCGCCCGCACCCCCACGCCTCCCCCGCAGCCGCAAGGTGGCGGGGGCCGGCGCAACCGGCGGGGCGGCGGGGCCGCCGCCAGCAGCAGTCGCAGCAGTAGCAGGCGCCGGGCGCAGGGGGGTGCCCCGCTACCAGCAGCCGCCCCCGCCGTGGGCCGCCGGGCAGAACCAATGGACGGGCGTTGTCCATGCCTATCACATGCCCGTCCCGCGGGCCCCGCACAGGGTCTTCTTGGTCCCCGCCCCGCGGGCCACCAGGCGTTCCTCGGCGCCCCCTACCAGCCCTACGGTGCTCCGCTCCCTCCGCCACCCCTTGGTGTCTACGGCGCGCTTGCTCAGGTGCCACCCTATGGAGGCTAACCGCCGCCGCCGGTACCTGCACCGTGGGACCCCGCCCTGCTGGCCGCCCTACACTCGATGCCGTCGCCGAGTAACTACAGCGGTGGAGGCGACTTGTACATGGACTCGGGTGCTACTGCGCACATGGCAGCTCATCCCGGTAACCTATCCTCTTCCACTCCAGTTAACATACCCACTCGTATCACCGTTGGCAATGGTTCTTCTTTACCTATCGCCCATGTCGGTAGCACTAGTTTTCCTTCTAGTTTCACACCTATCACTATGTCTAATGTCCTTGTCTCCCCTCACTTAGTCACTAGTTTAGTTTCCGTTTGTCGTCTTACTCGTGAGAATCCTCTTACTGTTGAATTTGATGGTATTGGTTTTTCTGTGAAGGACGCCCGTACCCGGATGGTGCTTCACCGATGTGATAGCCCTGATGAGCTTTATCCCATGCACGCCGGCGCCTCCACCTCCACACCCGTCACTCTCGCCGTCGGCGTATATCTTTGGCATGCTCGGTTGGGCCACCCCACCCCCGTCATTTTGCGTCAGATTCTTAGGAGTTTTTCTTTCTCATGTAATAAGCTCGACGAGCATACTTGTGAGGCTTGTCGTTTGGGCAAGCACGTTCCTCTTCCCTTTAGTGCGTCTACTTCAGTTTCCATTTTTCCGTTTCAATTACTTCATAGTGATGTTTGGACGTCTCCCGTTGCGAGTAACACGGGCTATCTATACTACTTGGTGATTTTAGATGATTATTCTCATTATGTGTGGACTTTTCCTCTTCGTCGTAAATCCGATGCTTTAGCCACACTCACCGCTTTTTATTTCTATGTCACCAGCCAGTTCGGTCGCCCCATGCTCGCACTCCAGACTGATAACAGAAAAGAGTTTGACAATGTCACTCTTCGCACACTTCTCGCCTCTCACGGTACCACCTTTCGTCTGACTTGCCCTTACACTTCACAGCAGAACGGCCGCGCTAAGCGCATTCTCCGCAATCTTAACGACTACGTTCGCACGTTACTCTTTCACTCTAATGTGCCCGCTCGGTTTTGGCCCGATGCTTTCGCCACTGCCACTCTCTTAGTTAACATTCGTCCGTGTCGTCCTCGGTGGAACTACGCCCCTCATGAAGGAAATATGCCCTAGAGGCAATAATAAAGTTATTATTTATTTCCTTATATCATGATAAAATATTTATTATTCATGCTAGAATTGTATTAACCGGAAACATGATACATTTGTGAATACATAGACAAACAGAGTGTCACTAGTATGCCTCTACTTGACTAGCTCGTTAACCGAAGATGGTTATGTTTCCTAGCCATAGACAAAGAGTTGTCATTTGATTAACGAGATCACAT